CTGAGTTTGGATCAATGTCAGTATCTAAGGAACTGTTCACCTACCCCTCCCACAACTCAATAACAAGTTAGGGCTAATGTTGGGTTAGGGGAAGGGTAGGTGCACTGAGTTTGGATCAATGTCAGTATCCAAGCAACTGTACACCTACCCCTCCCACAACTTATTAACAAGTTAGGGCTAATGTTGGGTTAGGGGAGGGGTAGGTGCACTGAGTTTGGATCAAGGTCAGTATCTGAGCAACTATACACCCACCCCTCCGCCAACCCAATGAAAAGTTAGGGTTAATGTTGGGTTAGGGGAGGGGTAGGTGCACTGAGTTTGGATCAATGTAAGTATCTAAACAAATGTACATGCACCCCTCCCCCAACCTAATAACATGTTAGGATTAAGGTTGGATAAGGGGAGGGGTAGGTGCACTGAGTTTGGATCAATGTCAGTATCTAAGCAACTGGACATCTACCCCTCCCCCAACCCAATGACAAGTTAGGGCTAATGTTGGGTTAGGGGAGGGGTAGGTGTACTGAGTTTGGATCAACGTCAGTATCTGAGCAACTATACACCTACCCCACCCCCAACACAATAACAAGTTAGGGCTAATGTTAGGTTGGAGGAGGGATAAATGCACCAATGCTCAGATAGTGAATTTGATCCCTGAGTTGTTGGGGGTCTGAGTTCTTAAGGCATACAAGGGTCTGAGATTTTAGGAGGACTGAGGTCTAAGTTTTCGAGGACTGAAGTTTTGTGACACCCCTTGTTGACCAACATATGGATCAACTGGATACACGAGCACATGCACTTGGCCAGGTCCTGACTTCACCTTTCCCTTGATGGAGACTGGACCCAGACTTCAGTTGAGTTTGATTGACACTGCACATAAGTGTAGTGATGCATGTTGTTTTGAATGTGTTTTTTTTTTTTTTATAGAGAAGGTGTGATGAGAGAATAAAACAAAATGGTGGTGTATATTGGAAGACAACCTGAGACTGTGACTTCAGGATACTAAACTTCTACTGCCATGGAGGCATTCCCAAAACCCTCATTAGTTTTGATCATTGTTTACTCCTATATGTGGGTGATCATCAAAACAATGCATAAACCCATTTCTCCCAATCCATGTATTTGCATTTTATTTAGATGGAACAATAATAAATACAAAATTTGTTAGTAAATAATTAATATTAAAAGTAATTTGATGATAAGAATCATAATACAAACTACGATATAAATAACGAATAGATAATAAATCCTACAGAGTTAATAGTTAGGCTTATCACGTGCAAAATGCGTCTGAACGGATTGTTATAAGTAAAGTTGGTAAGGCGATCATCCTCATACTTTTAATAAGCCAAATTTTGGAGTGAAATCAAGATATAAATTTAATAACAAAACCTCAAGTCAACAAACTTACCTTTCCCATTCAGAAGACGTCGTAAAATCTGTTATTTCAAATACTTCATCCTCCTAATGTTTCATCGAAAAAATAACACGCTAATAAATATCTTGTCTGGACTATCCCTTGTGATCAAGAGATTTATTACGGAAGTTTATCGACAAGTTACAACTTACCTCGTCTACTCCGTCCGCCATCTTGGAGTCATGTCCGGCGCATGCGCTTTCGACACGAGTGGAGGCGAGCAGTTCAAAAATATTTTTGTGTTCTTTACTCTTTCTCCTGATTGTATCGATTGATTTCTTTATTTTCCATATCAAATGATGAGCATCCATCAAAAATTCATAACAAGATGAATTTCAAAATTGAACAAAATGACTGAAAAAAACGACTTCTCCATTGTGACGTCATCTACCTTGTCCCCAGTCTCCAGAAGAGCTCGTGTCACGGCGTTCTCTGCCGAATAGGTAAACACACATGATGTTCTGCTTGGAGATTTCGAAGTTTGCAGCGCATTTTTGACCGGGAAAAAAATAATATTGATGCCTGTTATTCCGGAGAAATGGGTTATAGGTTTGCACGAAAAGCACGGACGTAATGTTACACTTTCTAATGGCAACCGTAGGGCTGCCAGGGAAGGCGATACCTACGATCATGGAATGGTATTTAGCGATCGACCTTTGCATATTGGGGAGATTTTTCAACTCAAAATTGAAGAATTGGAATCAAAATGGGCTGGATCTCTGGTATGTAAAGGTAACATGAATTTTAAAGGACAACCAATGACTAATTTTTAATTATTAAAAACTCACTGAGAGGTGGAAATATCGTGAGAATTTCATGCTAATTTCTGAATTTCCTTTGAATAGCGTTGTATTGTAAAACTTCGATGAGGTGAGCTCTAGATGCAGATGTTTCTATGTTCGATCCTTGAATTTGTTTAGTTTTCCTTGCTTGATTATCTGCGGGAAATATCTTAGGTCTAGTAATATACCAGAGTCTTATCTGTATAGTGATCAGCTTGAATGCTGAACAAGTCGCACAATTATGATATAAACTTTTCTTTTATGTTAACTTTTTCCTCTTCAAGTGTACTACCTAATTTATATTTCACTTTCCCTCATTTTTGAAATCGAAAGACAAAATATTTACATATACCAGATTTCATAATTTATTTTTTTTTGTGGAACTGTCTTGTTGTTTTATCTAGATATAAAAACCAACTGCATACAAATTAAAGGAATGAGAAGTCTGGGTCTGTTTGCAGTCTTCTCATCATCATCATCATCATCATTTTTTATATTATACAGAGATTTGGAATAACAACAAGCAATCCTAACTGCCCCTCCACAAATATAGTACGAGCGGCAACAGATTTGTTTACGTCTGATCATCAGGATTACTGGATGTTGTCTGGAACTCGTATCCACAATGGCGAGATAGAAAAAGAATATAATTTTAGTATTCACTCGCTCAAAGTTAATGATGTTTTAGGAGTTCAAGTGACTAGCAATGGAAACTTGAATTATTATGTTAATGGACTCAATCAAGGAGCAGCTATGACTCAAATACCTGTAAAAAAGGACATTTATGCTGTATTTGATGTTTATGGAAGGACAAAGCAGGTCTCTGTGAAGTACTTTGGAGGTAGGAAATGAATACTGGATAACTTATCTTACAGTGAATGATTTAAACTTGGAACTAACATAAGTTAAGGGTCATTGGGGGTTCTGAACAAGACTATACCTAAAAAAATCAGTAAATACCACAACATTACCCAAAAAAATCACTAAATATGGCTGTACTTCAATAACAAGTCAAAACCCAATGTCATGCAGAAAGAACTACTCTGTATGTTATGTTTATAGCAAGTAACGCAGGAAGAACAATTAACAATTTCTTAATAAACGTTACATCAGGTAATTGTCACTTTCAGCCTGTTTCTGAAACAATTGGAAACTGGAAAAAAGGTTGAGAAAAGAGTAGAAGACTTGGAGGATAATTTTCAATACCATCCAAAATGCTTCAAAAAACCGAATCTGCAGGCTCAGAGAATACCACAATAAAGCAATTCAAGACTACAATTACCTAGTAAATAGCGCAAAAAAATTGTCCAATACCGCTGAGAAGCTAGTCTCTTAGGGGTTAAAGGGATAAAAAGAAAGAAAGGTTTTCTGTGTTACTAAGTGGTACTTTAGTAAAATTGTGTTTCTGTTTTGGGTTGTGTGTGCTCATTTTAGCAGAGGAGACTAAGATAAAGCAGTCAATTTACCAAAAGCTTGGAGATGGGATGGAGATGTAATGCTCATGCATATAATTGTGGGCCCAGTTGTTTAAAGGGTAGTGTTCTCCAACTGTCTATCCGCCATCTGTTGGATTAATGTCAAAAAAACATATTGCACTATCCACTGGATGGAGATTTATCAAATGGATAGGGTCATCCAGCCTTTGAGCAATTAGGGCCTGGATTTCAGAATTTCAGAGGTTGATATCTCTGTTTATATGGCTGTGTCTCACGAGGACTGGCAACTACCAAATTCATGAATTTGATTGGCTGAAATCAATATTGAAAACAGTCTAGATTTTCCCTAGACCGGCATCTAGACCGGTCTAGAAAAAAAGGTACAAAGAATGTAAAAAATTGGCATATAAGACACAGCCATATAATAAACATCTTATTAACCAAGCTAGGTCAGTCTGTATGGGAGAATCTTGACCTCAGTTGCTGGTACAGACCTCACTGTGTTCGACCTGTACTGGTGACCTCGGTCAAGATTCTCCCATACAGACCTCCCGTTCGGTTAATAAGAACTAAATAACATTTTTGTATCTTTTTTTTTCCATGTAGTGGCAACTCTAGAAGAAATCTGCAAGGCTGAAGTATTGAAATGGGTAAAGGATACAGACAAGCTTTTAGAATTACCTATTCCAAAGATTCTTATAGACTTTTTACAAGAGTAATGTTATAGGTATATTTAATAATAGTGCAGATAGTAAATTGTATAGACTGTTCAATGGAAAAAAGTAAACTTTAGACAGTCTCATTACTTCATTTGTAAGTAACTGTTTGCTTTTTTCCAGTCAGATCACTGGTCGTCTCAAGATATGAAGTTTATTGTCATTTTTTTGCGAGGAAAAATTTCTTTTCTATACTTTTATTGATAAGCATATTTGTCTTAAGTAAACATCACTCTATAGGTTTGTTGGTTTATTGCAGTTATTTGAAGTTTTTTTTTGTTTCAACACCCCACCAAAAAAAAAAATCTTTGGAATAACTTTTCTAGATGACTTCATTTTTTTTAATTGTTTTATTAGTTCTTAGAATCTTGCAGGTTGTTGTTATAATGCCCTGGCATACAAAGTGACAAACTGTCCTGGATAGAATTGAAATAAAGCAGCATCTTGTTGACTGCACTTGAGTCATTAATTTTGTAAAGTGTCATTTCTGTTGAAGACTACTATTAAAAACAATGTACAGTAATGACATGTTCACAACAGTTTCATCCGGGTTACTGTTCTTACTCACTTGAACAAACCCTTTAAACTTCTTAATCCCTAAGAGTGACCAGCATCTAATTTCTCCCAACAGTATCACCCCTGAATCACACTCTAAGGTCATGAGAGTAAAGGAAATGATCGGCAACTGAACAAGCTCTTGATTGTTAAACAAATTCTCCTTGTCCACACCTAAGGGAATGTATAGAGAACAGTATGGAGAATATGCATACTGACATGAGGGTGTAAAGGGTTTAAAAAATGCCCCATCAGATTAAGTGCTACATTTGGTTGAGTTGAAACCTTCCCCCCCTCTACAAACACAGCGATATCATTAATGTCTTTAGTAACATAAAGGAAACACTATTTTCTCAGTTCATACTGCAAGTTATGGAACCTTGTTTTTATTTGCTCTGATTTATGACCCCTGCACTTTGGGCTTGGGGCCTGTTTCTCAAAAGTCCCGATAACTTAACCTGCTCATAAATTGTTCTGTTTTCATTCAAGATGGGGATTTCAAAAGTTTTGAGAATTATACATTAAAACTATCAGCTAAAGAAACAAAGAGGATTGGTTTGGGTGCCAGAACCTGCTTCCCTATCCTTAAAACATTGATTTTAGAACATGGCTTCAGGCCATTAAGTTACTGGGACTTTCGAGAAATGAGCCTCTGGTCAGGAAAAGCTTGGTCCGTAACTGCAAACACAGTTAGTGAGAGGTATCAAATCTGAACTGAAAAAAAACAGATCTGTAACTTGCAATTCATACCTCAAACTTGGTAACTGAAAGGTATTTATTTTATCTGTTGAAAGCTGTCAGTAACTACCCATACCCACCTAATTTACAATACTAAGATTTTATCTGGATTGTTAGCAATAGCCCCCAAAAAACATCAATTTAATTTCAATTGTATCATGTTTGTTACAGACTTTTCAGTGTCATACCCTCCATACAATACCAACAAGAGAGTGTGAGTAGTTCATTTTCAGTAGATGCTGACATTTTTGTTCCGTTTGCATCCTGTCTTTCAGTTCAGTGTATGGTTTGTGGTTTTCACGCAGTACGACTTCAGATCACAGACTCAAGCTCATATGGCTTAATTGTATTTTAAGAAAACAGGTAACTCTCCACCATACAAGCTGAGCAAACATCATGTAACAAGTATATTCCCCTTGTTAATCTTTTAACTCCCAAGATCTAAATGTTAATTTGCCCCTCTAGATGCTACACATTTCCTTGTAATTAAGTTCTTGGTGTTAGATTAAGATAACAACTTCTATGGGATAAGTTTGAGTATTCTCATTAACTGCTTGGTGGACAATGTAAAGATATTGTTGGGAGAAGGTATGAATTATGTTAATAACACCAAACAGACATCTATAGATTTAAGGGGAGGGGGTTAAAAGCTGAAGCACATTACAAGAGGAGAGGGACCTATTCAGAGCTGGAAGAAAGAAAAGTAAAGGCAAAATTTCAAGTGGATCCAATCTGCAGAGGTGCTTACACCTAATATCTTTATTCTCTGCAATTTGCACAAGGTACCTTTTTAGTAGGCATAGTTCAACCAACCAGAACAACTTTGAAAATGATTCAATAGAGTGTTGTACTGAGAAAAGATAGTGGGTTAAAGATCAGTTCTAATAGCCTCTATTCATATTTTTTATGCGAGTACTCGTGAGGAATGTGAGGCGGATCAAATTGTACTAACATGGAAGGGAACTCCGCGAAGCAGCCAGCTCACAGATGTTATTTCATGGTTGCTAAAAAGGAAAAACCTTGCTAAAAAGAAAAAATCTTCTGCAGGTCGTCTTCCTTGACATGTGGCTCGGCTTTTGCCACTGGTGACCCTAAGAACAATTTGGGTCCCGCTATGTCCATAAAAAATTTATTAATTTCCTAAATCGTTTGGAAGGAGGCCACTTTAACAAAATTAAACCAAGTTTTATGATGACAAGTAATAACGTAAGAACCTCTCTTTGACTTTTGGGTTATTGTGGTTTTTACTTACAGTGGTGATGCGTCAGAGACAAACTGAATGTTTTAACATATAGGGCACGTGATTTCCAATAGGGAAACTATTTTATCCAGAAACGCAACAAATAAAGTGTGCTTTCCATCAAAATGGCGTAGCAATCTAGAAATTAAAAAGTGTAACATCACTCGGAAATGATTTTAAACCGTCCGCTTGAAGAGATTAGAAAAAGATGATTAAAACGGTTTGATCACTTTTGTTACTGAACTCAACGATAAAAATCTTGCGTTATGGTTTCTGCTTTCTCAAGTGTGAAGACCACCCGACACGTAATTCAGGTCACGCGAAGGCATAGAAAATAAACATGTAAATATCCAGCGAAATCCAAATGAAAATAATTTGACAATAGAGAGATTTTTTTCGTCTAAAAGCAGGTTTTTATCTCAAATTTACGTGCTGTGGCTAATGAAGGAGTTCGTGGTATGTAACATACACAAAGATTATTGATTTCCTTCTATCAACATACTGCGTGAATCAGTGTATCACACACACTAATTTTGAACAAAAGGCTCATTGTTGTAAATAAATCATAATTCGCCTTACAAATTTTGATCTTGAAAACAGAATTGTATGTTTTGGTAAGGTGGTATCTTCTTATTTGTAAGACGATCAACTGTGATTGGAACAAAGAACCTAATACTGTACGTAAACACAGTAGGTGTCTTGCAAACTCAGCTGACATGATAACCAGGCTGGTAAGGAGAAAATAATTATCGAATAAATTATATCGAGTTTTTTTCTTTTGAAAATGTTACATGGCGAATAAAAATTTCCTCAGATCATTTTAAATAATTGTTTCCAAACTCTGTAGAATGTTCAGATACAAGAAAGCAACGATTACCTGTGGGGTTTGGAAATTAATAATTCATGTGGTATTGATCGAATTAAATACTCTTATCATTTACGAGAAAGGAGAATTACTCTATCAATCAAAGCGGGAAGTTTTTTTGGTCTCAGCAATAGTAAGTTAGACCGCTTACACCGGTAGCGATATCCCCGCACAAAATGGCGAAGAAAGGCTCCGCGAAACAAGGTTCGTAAAATTCCCCTTTACTCGGAAACAGGAGCGTATTCTCAGAAAACTTGGAGCAGAAATTTGAAACCATATTTCATTTCGTTTGCTAGGAAAGGACTTCTTCGACACTCGAAGTGGACGAGTTCATGCAGACTTGAATTTCGCTGAACGTAGTTCCGTAAGTGCTAAGACAGAAGTAAGTTCTTTGTCAGTCACCATATTTGGCTAACCCGTGAATAAATCTGAATGTGTTCTATGCTTCTTACGTTTACATGTTGCTGTCATTTCAGATTGGCTTCATCCGCGAAGCTTTCCCGTTACGGAGTAAAGATGACATAACCTTGGTTCTGCAGTCCTGTGATTACAACGTCGACGAAGCCATCGCTTGTTTTACGAACGGTGAGATTTATATTCCTTATCTTGAAGGAACAGCTTGAAACAGAGGCAGGGGAAAGTTTAAACGGGTAGTAATGTTTTGTAGTGAAACGGAGGGATTATTTTCCAAAAGCGAAACAAAACTTAGAAAGTTCAGTTGCTGTGGACACAAGAACACTCAGTTTCTACGCATAGAAGAATGTCAGATTCCAACGATTTTCGTCGACATGTTTTCATGTAATTCCTTGCCTTTCAGGAGAAGCAGATAATCTATTAAAGGAATGGAATACCCAGGGAAGAAAGTCAAAAGTAAGAAACTGAAATAACTTTTTACCGCTTTATTAAGTAATTTTTTCAGGTTTATGAATAATTTTTGTCACGTCACTGCGATGTGAAAGTTTGTATTAAATATTTAAATGGGTCACTTGATATCTAAGCTCAAATGAATTCCAAGACGATTTCCCTCTGCAGTTATGGATTCTTGTCTCTGTTTTTTTTTTTTTTCTAAATTTGTTGCGTAGATTTTTCAGCATTTCTCTGCCAATAAAGTGCCCCAAACCAAAGTGAAACGTAGGTCACTTGAGGTATTCGCTTTTTTCTCTACTGGAAAATCTAGGTGTCTTGAAAGGCGCATTACTCTCGCTTGGAAGAAATCTAAACCGCCATGTAATCTTGTGCCATCGATAATCTACCTGCGTCTCAGGATACACCGATAAAAGTTTCGTGTTTCGCACGATCGAAGAAAAAATTAGCCTCGCAAACTCGTTAACAGAACCAAGGTTTTCCATCGTCGGTAACTTCCGGTATCGGTTGAATTGCGAAATTACTGTTCCGCCGGGGCACTGAGGTAAAAATTCTATGGAAGAAATAGAAAACGAGTTATCACTTGAACTGTTTTTGCTAAAAAGGTTAAACTCAGCTTTTAAAAGGCAAGTTATAAAAATACATTCTAAGGCTCGTTTTTAAGAACCATATCGGTTTCTCTGGGGGAAATAATAATGGTTTCCTTTTGGAGAGTTTAGCATTTACGAGGTTATTAAATCTGGGTGCAGATTATCTCAGCTAATTGGCTTCTTCTGACAGATCATTCAAAAGGAAAAACACTGCTAAGAAAAAATTAAGACAGTTCTGAACACTATTTTGAAGGACTGTCCACATAAATATAGGCTGAGAAAAATTAGAGTTTTAGCCCTTGTCAAATAAATTTATAATTTTTCTGGCATGCAGGATTATCTAAAATTGCAAAATGTTTTGTTCAGAATCTGCTCTTTGTAGTCAGTCAGACTGGCTCCTTCCACCTCCTAGGGTTTTGCCAATGAATTAACATTTGTTTTGGCAAAAATTTTACTCCGCTCAGATCCAAGCAGGCATCTGTTTCAGGTCTCACAATTCCAACAACAATTCAAATTCAAATTCCAACAACAGGACCATCATGGTTACTTTTTTTTTATCATTGTAAGGTCAATGTCAGGCCTGTGGAACAAATTTCAAAGCAGGAGACCCAGTAACAGCAGTAGTGTCTTAAAGAAGGCTGAAGTTAAACCTAGAGGCAACCTGTCTCCTAAATTTTGAAAATTGTTTGTTTTGTTTGGCACTTTCATTTAAACAAGTTGTAACTATACATATATTGGTGCTAGTGCCTTTGTCTTCTTTTTGCCTTTAACCCAATTTGATTGGCCAATCTGCTGTCATTGACAAGAGTGCAGATAATGTTGCTTGGATCAACTTGTCGTGGACTTTATTTCACGTTATTATTGTGGCATTAAACAAATTGATGGGGGTTTGATTTAGTCTGTACTCTTATTCACTGCGCTATTCGTCATCGCGAGGTCAAAATGTTGTGGACTCACGAAGGACTCGCAGTTGAAACCTAAAATTAAATCATTTTTAAATTGCAACTTTGCCCAAAAAAAATAGCTTTATGTCTTACTTTGACCTCATTGTAAGAAGGCTCAGGAAAGGGATGTCAGAGGTTATTTTAACTCACTATTATGTCACTTGTGGGGAAGAAAGGTAATAATCCCATATTTTCCTTCAGAACTTCAGTATGGTTATGGAGTTACTGAAGCTATGTGGCTTGTAATGGGAATCAAATTGAAGAATGAAATAGGGCACGAGGCCTTATCAAGTTAGTTTCCTTGTACTGACATCATATTCGACCGCTGCTAATGGTTTTTGAGCCTACAGTTTTACAGCTGCAAGAATGGAAAAAAGGCAAATTCAATTCAAATTTTTCGATAAAAACAAGAAGTGAGCAAAACTAACCATCAAGACTTTATCTTGCCCCTCTAAAGCTCACTAGAAATAAATGCAAAAAAATACCTATTCCAGGTTTCAGTTTCCCTTTAAATTTACCTTGAGTGAAATTATTATTTTCCTCGCAGAGTGCTAGGAAGAAAAGGAACAAGAAAAAGCAGGCAAAAATAAATGATCCAGAAACACCAGAAGTTGCCATGACAACACAGGACAGTGAGAATGTTTCACAGCTGAAGCAAAAGAGCCTTGAAGGTATTATCCATCTCATGTTAATGAAACAGATTTTCCAGACTTTCCAATGGAAATAAACATCATTCCAAATAACTTTGAAATTTAAAAAAAAAATTGATTTAGAGTAATAAAAGTACATATGATGCACGATCCTTGCAGTAGAGAGCGCTATTTATGCAATAGCGAAAATCAGACTCAAAAAAAATCAGGCCTGTACGGGATTCGAACCATTGACCTCTGCGATACTAGTGCT